AGATATATATAGATATATATAGATATAGATATATATAGATATATATAGATATAGATATATATAGATATATATAGATATAGATATATATAGATATATATATAGATATATATAGATAGATATAGATATATATAGATAGATAGATAGATAGATAGATAGATAGATAGATATATATATATTTTATTTTCGCCTAAACCAGTGACATCATGCAGAAGCCATGATGACTCTAGTCTACCTCAGCCTGTTAGCTCTCATGCTAACCATCGCTAGCTGGGTGGGCAAGCAGACATTAGCCGGTTTTTTTTTTTCGCGCTGACAACAGATACACGACGTGACAGCCCGGTTATTGACCACAAAACAGGCTGCCCCACACGAGACAACCTCACACGATGCGCGGCCACACGCGGACTTTGCACGGATCGAGCGCAGTTAGGTCGAGTGTTAGCTAGTTAGCTTAGCTTGCAGCGCCCATGCTTTTCTGTCGGGGAACACGTGGAGTTAACACGTGACGCCCCACAACAAGGCTGCTCATTTTTTTTTTTTTAAAGAGATTAAACGAGCAGATGTTTCACCTTTGGGGTCGTGTTTTCAGTGTGGAGAAGCGATCTTTAAAGTCGCTTTTAAAAGCCTGGCTTTGTTTTATGTAAATGCAGTGTAGCAACATGGAAGCTACGCTGGGAAGGGCTACACGACGCACTAGGCCAAAGAGGACTCGGTGTGCTATTGTTAGCCGGCTAAAGCTAGCTTACTTAACACAGCCAGCCAAGCTCGTGGCTTTTTTTTTTTTTTTCTTGTGATAGATGAAATGCGAGACGTGGGCGGATGTCTCACTAATGTGTGGCGAACAACCTAACCCAAAAAACAAACATGTAAACAGTAGTGAGGACCGGTTCTTTTTAGTATTCGGCAAACACAGAGGGGAGTGTGTCAGCTAAGCGTTGACTGGGTGGAAGTAGACGACACACACACAGGAAGGACATGGTGATCAAGCAGGCTGAACATGACATGTATGTCCTAAAAGTTAAGTCACTGCAGCCAAGCATGCACGGTGACACTGGTCAAATCATCACCCTCCTCCCCCCCCAAAAAAATACACCAAAACTTGGATGCACACATGTTTGCCTGGTGTGATGACATGATCACAGCAACTTTACAGCCATTGCACGACAACACAACGTGCAGAGAACAAGCACAATCATCTTAAGTACACGTTGAACTGGAGAAGCACAGACACACATAAGCAAAGTTGATATTGTTGGGGTGCAGACACTTGTCATGTGACAAGTATGTTTGGCATTTTTAGAAAGATCATTTTGGTGCATTTTCACTTGTATTTAAAAAGGGGTGTAATAATCCCTTGTGCACACCCATGGCCCCACAACTCCAGGAATAGCCTTCACTAGGAGGAGGAGGGGGCTTTCACTCCAAATATATCCAGCTCGCAGGGAGCAACAAGAGGGCGACCACAGACTGGGCTTGTTTATGCACTTTTTTAGTATTAATTAAATGCTATCTGACCCCCTTCCTCCTCCTCCTCCTCGTGACAGCTGCTCGGTCATCTCGTGTGACCACACCTGGACGGACAGACACTGGAAACGCAACACTGACAGCCACTTAAAAAACATGAAAGGGAGGGTACGAACCGTGGTGTGCTTGTCCATTCACGCTGACCACGGTCACCACCGCATTCATTTTCCTAGTCCACGGGTTCACCTTGGGCGGGGGAGCTTCAGTAAACTCCTTTCGGCCTTTAACACCGTCCTCGTTTTGCTTATCCTCTTCCTCTGTCGCCTCGTTGGAGGTCCGCTCCTCCGCGTCCTCGGTGGTGGTCCCTCCCTGCTGCCCGGGGCTGCTGCCGCCGCTCCCCGGCTCTGCGACACCCGTCTGCCGGCTCTTGGCACCGTCGTCGCCCCGTGCGTCCTCGCCGCTCCGCCGTGCGCCCTCGCCGCTCCGTGCGTCTTCCTCCGGCATCACTTCTCCGTGCTCCTTCGCCAACAGCGGGTTGCCCGGCATGAGAGCCTCCACCTGAGTGGCCATTTCCACACACCGCCGTCTTTCTTCCCCCTTCAGGATTACCAGCCCTCTTCTTCCCCCCCCACCCCCCTCCTCCGGGCCCGAATTCGCCTTCAATTTCAAAAGGAAATGTGAAGTTGTTCCGGCGGAGTCTGCCGCTCCTCTGTCGCTCCTTAGACCAAAAAGATCTCCAGCCTAAGACGCAGAGTAGTCGGCAATAAAAACATGTATACAAAATAAAGAAACGTGTCCCAGGGCCTCGCAGGATTACAACCTTATCTCCACCACTAGCAGCAACATGGATGATCCCCACCACGCGATACAGGGGTACGCGCACGTACGGTGTACTGGGCGGATGGGGGAGTAGCCACGTAAAGCCGGGAGCGCGCTTTGGTTTCAGGTCGAGATGCTGCTTTCAAGTGCTTTCCTCGACGAAATCCACGATTTCGGAAGTCACAAAGTGTCACTTTAACTTAAAAGTGCTTTTAGCACTAAATGTATGACGGATAGAGAGTAGTTATTTTTGTCTCAAGTTAGATGTTTTATCTAGTTTATTTTAGTGTTTGAAAGAGAATCAACAGACTTAGTTTTGAAGATGTAAATGAGAAAATGCTCACTTTTTAATGCACAATTTTGTCATATGTTCTGCAGCAAAATATCTTATAGCTTCTATCATGTTTACTACCACATATCATTCATATAAACATATAATATATGAACAAAAAAAATAGATTTAAAATTGTCCATGCACCTTCATGTCACATCACAGCAACTAGTTCCACAAACTAAACATTCACCAGCTTAGAACTATATATATATATATATATATATATATATATATACTGTATATGTATATATGTATATGTCATGTCTTCAATGGGTGATTTGATTGCATTAAAACTTCCTTTGTCCTGAAAGCGTGTATCTCTTTCTGTAGATACACAAAGGTCTACATACGCCTATCAGTGCAGCACATGATCAGAGGACTCTTCACAATCAGTCATAGATATCAAACCTTAAAAGCTTGTGACACACATTCATCATATGTGCGGTCAGTTTTCACTGTAACACGTTTGTTACATTTCATGTTACTTTCCTGTTGAAGAGTTCACAGTGTAAAAATACTCAGTTAAAGTCCTGAAATCAAAATCTTACAGCAAAATGTACTTTAAGTGTCAAAAGTTAAGTTACTCAGAATGGTCACTTTAAGAATAGTTTAAATTATAAATGATATAAGGTTATTATTATTGAGCAGCAGCCTTTTAATGCTGGAGCTTGTTTTATTTACTTAACAGTAACAATGCATCATGTTTTTGTTTTGTTTATTTAAATGTTTTAATCTGTAAGATATTTAATTACTAAAGTTGTCAGATAAATGTGCTCCAAAAGCACCATTTGAAGTTAAATTAATTCATTGTTTATACCATTGTTAATGCATGTAAATGTTGGGAGGAACCATGTATAACTATGTAGACTACAGAAAACACTAAAACAAGTAATAGTTAACAATACCACACAGGCACATGTATTTCCTATACCATTTATTTTTTCTTTCACCTCAGTTAGTTACTTAACTCACTTATGGATAGTGTATTTGTGCAACAAATAAGATTTTTCCGATAGACTTGAACGCAGCGCGAAGCACCCAAGATGACGTCGCTCTCGCCCTCTGAACGCGTCCACAAATCACCGTTAGCTCATTAAACATCTGCCCAAAACACAAGGCTTTTACTGTGTTTTCATGTTCATGAAACGCTGTCAGGGTGACTTGACGTTTGGTCGTCGCTCTCTCGCGCATTTCACGTCACTCTGTTCTCTAAAATATGCAAATAAAAGTGGTGGAAAAAGGCACCTAAACCCCCTCTTTACTGTTTGTTCCTCCACGGTATGCACACGTGTCCACACCGGAGCTGCACGTGTGCGTTCACACTCTCGCTGGCTTACCTAATACTTTTATAATAAGATTTATACTTTTATCATAACAGACTGTTTAAGTGTTCGTCTGTGCTGATGCCATTTCTGTTGCGTGTGTGTGTGAGAATGTGTTGTGTTCAGTGACACCAAACGTGTGGCTCAACATTAAAGGGCCCCTTTTTTTAGTCTGTGTGGTGGATTACATAATAAGACTCAGAGTCGGATTTAACGTGTGTGTGTGTGTGTGTGTGTGTGTGTGTGTGTTTAGCTGTGCCTCTACCGCTGGAATGTAAGAAAGTACACACTACTTCAGGCTATACTTCAATTAGAGGCAGCCCACTTGTACTTTGAGTATTTCCATTTTATGCAACTTCATACTTTCACTCCACTCCACTGATAAAAAAAGATCCTGCTTGATCTAACGTTACTTTAAAAAAATGAAGGCAACGTTTTGCATCAGATTGTGTAGATCAAGCAACTATAATCGACTTAATTTTTTTTACGTAAGAACTACATTTTCCAAGTAAAGTCAACTGAAATTTTCAGGTAAAATCAACTTAGCACGTAAAGTCACTTCAAATTACTTGTGAAAGTAACATCCAACCGTCCAAAACTGACCCAAGTTTATCCAACAATAATGTATATATGTGCAGGTATAACAACATTTTTATATATTTAAATCAGCTTGCCAGATTTTCCATAACCATATCGCAAAACATCAAGGCACACAAATAAAAGATTTGAGAACCTCGGGATCAATGCACAGCAAAGTCCTCCGTTATTGAACCTGTCCACATCCTGTGTGATATATGAAAAATGTATGAAGTGTGTCGTGACAAACAGCACGGAAGCCTCTCTCTGTACAGACTTCAGCTGCTGCACACGGCCTGCAGGATTGCTCGAGTGTTTATGACTAAAGCCTGAAATATGCCGTCAGTCAGTACAGGCGTGTTGATGGGTACAGGATAAAAAAGAGAAACTGTAGATAAAGAAAGAAGGGGTTTGACGTTTGACATGTAAGATAGTCTTGTGCGGTTCATGACCCCATGAATTCACATCCATCATACTCACACACGCCTTCCACAACTCTTCCTCATACCTGTGCTACTGAATCATGAGACCAGGAAGAAATAAGGTGGGCCCCCGTCATACAACTGACATTTTAATGTCTGTAAATATGACACACTATTACTTAGCTGCCCTCTTAATCATCAGAGAAAGGCCTCACTAAATGTTCATTCCTTGGAGTCACGATAAACACAAGACCTTCAAAACGTGAATTTGTTTTTTTTTAATGTAGAAGACAGCCTTTAGTTTTTCATTTTAGCTCAATTTGAAACAGAAATCTTGAAGTTTTTGCACCTAAAAATCACCTAAATGTTCCCTAATGTACATTCTGAGTCAATCTGATCGCAGCATTGTCCTGAGTCCAGGCCAAGAGGTCAACTTAAATGCAGCACAATACAAAACCCCCTTTGAATATGAGATTCTGCAAAACGCAGCAGCACCGACACCCACAAAGTCCCACATGACATGAGGCTCTCACGGCTCATAAAACCCCCCAAACTGAACGGTGTGCTGAGGACAAGACCAGACCGGCCGTAGAGGCTCTGGCTGCGGCTCACAGTTTTTAATCAAATCACCGTCAGACATCCAGTCCTCCAGGTGAGAAAAACAAATCACCGTCAGACATCCAGTCCTCCAGGTGAGAAAAACAAACAAAGTAGTATAAATGTCAGGTTCCTGTCTGAACACAATGTTCGGGTGTGGAAATCAGTGCCAGATAAAAGCTGGTAGATTTCACTCTTTGTGTTTTAAAATGTTCATTGAGTTTTGTAGTTCTTCATTTAAGTGGAAAACAAAAACAAATCCATGAGTGTATGTTTAGCAGCAGTTCATTTAGAATAAAATCATATACGTCACTAAATTAAAAAACACTTTTTAAAGGCACACCTACAAATTAATCATCCCATTTCAAACAAAAACGCAGATTAAAACAGCAGATATTTTTACATTCAGAATCCAGAAAGGGTTTCGGTGTCTTTTTTGTGATTCAGCTCTGACCAGAGACAGCAAGGTGTGGTTGGGTGTGGTCAGAAAAGTGCTTTGTGGCACCTGAAAACCACACCCAACAGAGATGATCAGCAAAAACAAATATTCTTTACTCTTTAAAATAAATAAACAAAAGAGGAAAGCCTACTGGGGAGTGTGTGATATTTTAAGTTTGAGTCCAGGCAATCATCTTATTATTATTATGTCATGAATTTGAAGTTTTAGAAGTCATGTTTTGACGGTGAAATGGTAAAAATGTCATTCAATTATGTGTTTTTTGATCCTCACATGGAAAAACAAGCCATGACACATCAGTGTCACACCAGTGGTGACAATCCCTTCTAATCCCTCTGTTCTGCATCATTCTCTTTATGTCTCTCTCTCTCTCTATTATTTTGTCCCCGCCAGGCTACCGTTTGTCCCCGTTCATAACAACATCGACACAACATACAGCTATACGAGACCAGGACACACACACACACACACACACACACACACACACACACACACACACA